TCGAAGATCGCCGCGAAGGCGGCCACGGCGTCCAGCGAAGGCCCGGGGTAGGAGTCCTGTAGGCCCTTCCGCATGGAGTCCAGAAAGGACCCCCGGAGCCACTCCAAGCCCCGGACCGCAGCCTCTGAGTAACCGAGCAGCTCCACGCCGCGGTAGGTGCAGCGCCCGCTGCTGGTGTCAGGGTCCGTGGATGCCAGTTCCTGCAGGAAGCCCTGGAGGCGGGCCCCACCTGAGCCGCGCTGAGCTTGGAGGGAGGCCGCAGCCGCCATCACCAGGGGCTGCAGCAAGGCCATGTCCGGCTCTTCCGCCTGCAGGACAAGGGAGAGCTTCTGCACAGAGGGCAGGGCATCCAGCAGCAGGTGGGTGAAGGCCACGAAGGTGAACTGGCGCAGGGCCAGGGCCAGTGACCCCGCCACAGGTGAGGCAAGGGCTGCAGCCTCCAGGGTGGGCACCAGGCCAGGCCAGGCCTCTGCCACTGCTTCCACGACAGGCAGCAGGGAGGCCCAGGGCACTGGCCGAGGCCCTGCCAAGTCAATAGCTGCAAGGTCCAGTGCTGCCCGGAGCTCAGGGACCAAGTGGGAACTAGGACCACCATGGAGGCGGAATAGAGCATCCAATATGCTCTCATATTGACCCAAGTAGGCGGGGGGCTCAGGATCTGTGCGGCCAGGGAGGCAGTGCAGCTCTGCCAGCAGTGGGCAAGTGGCCCGGAGCTGTGGGCCCACACTCCCCAGGCGCTCATTGGGGAGGCTTGAGCTGAGCCAGGCCAGCTTGGGTGCAGATACGCCGAAAGCCTGCAGGATGTCCAAGAGCTGGCCAGCAGTGGCCTCACCCTCCTGTAGCTCCACACTGCCCAGGAAGGTGGTGGCAGGCTGGCCATCACAGGGGGACACCGAAGTGGCAAACAGGGCCAGGCTGTGTGACTCCGGCCAGTCTCTGGTCTCGTCCAACACCAGCCCCACATATGGGGATGCCTTCAGGCGCTGGCAGGCCTCTGTGTGCAAGACACTGGCAATGGCCACCTGGGACAGCCAGGAAGAGAAAGGGAGGGAGGACTGAGTTAGGCTTGTCCTGAGAGGCGGAGGCAGGCAGTGCGGGGTGGTGGAAAGAGCCCAGGCCTTGAGGTCACACAGACTTAGGGACTAATCCTGGCTTTGCCACTTACTGGCTGTGCTACCTTCGGCCAGTCACTTCACCTCTCTGAGCCTCAGTTTTCTCACCTCTACAGCTCCTGATGTCTCTAAGAACAGTCCTGCCACCCTGGCTTCCCACCACATCCGGTCTAGTTTTCTAAGCTCTTATACCTGCTGTCAGCTAATACCAGCCCCAAATCTTCTCAAAGCATTGTTGTAAATTATAAATGTCAACTTTTGTTGTGGTGAAAGCACTTTATGAACCATAAAGAGCTCTAGGAAAGCTAATTTTTTCACTGTGTTTTTCTATAGCATCATCCTAGTCTGCCCTATTCCTGGGGGTCTCCCTCCACTGTCCAGCTCCGTGATTAACTGATAGGCACACTCACTCCCAACTCCCAGTTACCCTGGGTCCCAGCTGTATGCTGTTTCTCTATTTGTCATCTCTGTAGGATGAGATCCAACTCCCCCACCTCCAACCCAGCCCACAGGACTCACACAGTTAGTACCTAGGACAGAGCTGCAATCTGCATGTCTCCAGGGGCCATGTGAGTGATACTGAGCTTAGAGAAGGCCAGGGATAAGCCAGAGGGAATGCCCTGCTCTCCAACTCCAGCACATCCTGCTGTGAGAGCATGGGGACCTTGCTTTTCAATATAGTCACAAATATAGATTTTTATATGTAATCTCCTGAGTTTTTTTAAAGTTGAAACAAATTCAAGTTTTTCAAAAACACTATGAAAACTAATTAAACAGGCTCGGCACAGAAAACAGCCCCAAAAGAAAACTAAGTCAGAAGTCATTTCCATTTCCATTCCAGCACTTTGGGGGGCCAAGGCAGGAGGATTGCTTGAGGCCAGGAGTTCAAGACCAGCCTGGGCAACATAGTGTGACCCCATCTCTATGTTTAAAAAAAAAAAAAAAAAACAGAGGCCAGGCACGGTTGCTCACATCTATAATACCATCACTTTGGGAGGCTGAGGTGGGCGGATCACCTGAGGTCAGGAGTTCAAAACTGGCCTGGCCAACATGGTGATACCCTGTCTCTACTAAAAATACAAAAATTAGCTGGGTATGGTGGCACATGCCTGTAATCCTAGCTAACAGGGAGGCTGAGGCAGGAGAATCACTTGAGACAAGAAGGCAGAGGTTGCAGTGAGCTGAGATCGCGCCACTGCTCTCCAGCCTGGGTGACAGAGCGAGACTCCTCAGAAAAAAAAAAATTAAATACATTTGTGGGTCAATCAAGCCTCCAGACCACCAGTTTGCAACGTCTGATTTAGCTAGTGAGAAGAGTGCCCCTGTTCCCGCTAAAGAGAAGGCCTGGTCTGGCCTCTTCATTGTTGTATCCCTGCAGCTAGCCCAGCACCAGGCACACAGTAGGCCCTCAGGGAAGGTTCTGAAGGAAGAAGATATGAATGAAATGCCCTAGCTGCTCCCCAAGGGCCTGGCATGCTGGGGCTGTTCCCAGGTGGCTCAGTGTCCTCCCTTCCCAAGCCCTTCCCCCATACTTCTGGCTGTCACCCACCTGCATGTCCCTCACCCTCCTGGGACTGTAGTAATCGCCATGCTCTGTGCCCAGCAGTGCCTGGCACAGGTTGAACCTCTGCAGCTCGAGCAGGGCAGAGCAGCGGTCATCAGGCACATCCTCCTTTGCCATGCAGTACACGGTAGTCAGCACAGCCACTTTGGCCGGGTCTACCTCCACCTTGACACCCCTGGAGGCGGGGGTCGTAGTCAGGCCTGGGCAGGCCTCTCCGCCCTCAGCCTGGCCCTCAAAAGGGGGCTGGCCCTGGTTGACAGCCAGAGCCTGGCGGTGGGCTCCTGAGGTCACGTGGCGCAGCAGGGCGTGGCGCTGGAAGTTGTCAGTGCCCACAGTGAAGGCGTTTTCGGCTTTGCCATGCTTGTTCCGTACCAGGGCCTGGCGGCACTCGAGGCAGAACATCAGCTTCCGCTCATAGTCAAAGTCCAGCCAGGTAAACTCCTCTTTCCAGTGCTCGTTGAAGTAACGCTTACACTTCTTGTTGGAGTTGGAGGCCTCTCCCGCTGGTTTCTTCCCTGGGGGCACCATTCTTGCTCTCTGAGCAAGGAACTCCCAACCCCCACCTGAATGCTCTTGCCCCCCTGCCTCCCCCCACACACAGAGGCACCTCCCTTGACAAGAGGAGTTGATGGGGAGGCGGGATGGGGGCAGCCCACCAGGCTAACAGGGCCCATCCATCTCAGCCTGAAGAGTTTATTCCTGCTCCGTGGGTAGGAGACTGGAGATGAAACAGACAAGGGAGAGGTGTTAGGGGTCTGTCATGGTAGGGGCAGTTTAGGGTGGCGTGGTAGGCTCCATGCTGCCCACAGAGTCCTCCCAGCTGAGGGGTGGAGGGGCTCAATGGGGCAGGGGCTCCGGGCAGTGGATGGAGTCATGCAAAGGGCCCTAGAGTGTTATCCAAGGCAGGGAGGTGTGGGGACCCCAGCCCTCTCCCGGGGTCTCTTTCCACCCAGGACAAGGCACTGATTCGCTTTGACTGCTGAAGCATCTCAGAACTGGAAAGACTGGCATCACCTAGGCAACTGCATTTTATAAGGGGGAAACTCAGTCTGGAGACAGATAGTGGTTCTCAGGGCCCATGAGGAATTCATAGTGAAACAGGACTAAAACTCAGAACTCTCAACTCCTAGCCCAAAAGATGACTGTGCCCTTCAGCCCACAGTCATCTACTTCATCAGAAGGAAATCAGGCCAGGCATGGTGGCTCACTCCTGTAATCCCAGCACTTTGGGAGGTGGCTCACTTGAGCCCAGGAGTTCAAGACCAGCCTGGGCAACATGGCAAAACCCCATCTCTAAAAAAAAAAAAAAAAAAATTAGCCAGGCATGGTGGTGCATGCCTATAGTCCCAGCTATTGGGGAGGTTAAGGCGGGATTGCTTGAGCCTGGGAGGCAGAGGTTGCAGTGAGCCGTGATGGCGCCACTGCACTCCAGACTGGGTGACAGAGCTAGACCCTGTCTCAAAAAAAAAAGAAAAACAAAAGGATGGCCAGGTGCAGTGGCTCATGCCTGTAATCCCAGCACTTTGGGAGGCCGAGGCAGACGGGTCACCTGAGGTCAGGAGTTCGAGACCAGCCTGACCAACATGGAGAAACCCCATCTCTCCTAAAAATACAAAATTAGCTGGCATGGTGGCGTATGCCTGTAATCCCAGCTACTTGGGAGGCTAAGGCAGGAGAATCGCTTGAACCCGGAAGGCAGAGGTTGCAGTAAGCTGAGATCACGCCATTGCACTCCAGCCTGGACAACAAGAGCAAAACTCGATCTCAAAAAAAAAAAAAAAAAAAAATCAGCACAAAGCTGATTCTTGCCAAGCCACAGGAAGATGTGCTTTCTCTAAAGCTGCCTTCCTTACACACACAGGTGCACACAAACTCACACCCACACCCACTGGTACTGTGGTTCTGGGACAGGTAGCCCAGACCTGGGGCCCCAGACTGAAGGCAGGTAGCCGGCTGCCTCTACCTCCCTCACTCTGCCACCTCCCCAGACACAAGGCCAGGATGAGCAGTTCAGGATTGAAAAGCCATGTCCAGCCATTGGCCAAAACCTGCCAAGTCTACCTTTTTTTTTTTTTTTTTGAGACAGAGTCTCGCTCTGTCACCCAGGCTGGAGTGCAGTGGCGTGATCTCGCTGGGATTACAGGCGTGAGCCACCACGCCCAGCCTTAACTCTACCTTTTAATTATTTATCCAACCTGTGTCCTCCTCTTCATGCTTAACTGTAACTACCATTTCCGGGATGTGAATTGAGGCCCTGTGCTAAGTGCTTTACAATGATCCAGGGCAGACCCAGACGACTCTCCGTGGCTGAGACATTATCCTTTTGGAGAGGAGAAAACTGAGGTCAATGACTTTAACTGGCTTGCTTCAGGTTTCATAAGCAGTAAGTAGCTGAGGCTGAATCAGAACCCATGTCCTCCTGACCCCAAAGGCTGTACTGAGACCCTGGTCTGTACCATCTCTCTCCCTTCAGCTGCCTAGCCTTGGTCCAGTTCAGGCCCTCACGGTATCACCTGGATCATTGCAGCTGCCTCGGTCTCTGCATGGTCATTTCCCCCAGACTCATCCCTCACCCAACAGTCAGAGACAGCAAGCTCACACACAGATCCAACTGTGTCACTCTCTGGCTTCCACCTCTTTACTGATATCCCACTGCCTAAGTCTACACACCTCACCACAAGCCAACAAGGCCCTCCCCAGGCTCTGAATGCTTCTGTTAATAGAGCCTCCCGCCACTCCTGTCTGCCCAATCAATTCTGATGGCTTGCATCCCCAGTGGACACCAAGCTGTTACTTTGTCCCTGTCTTCATCCTCTGAGCCTAGAATTCCCTCTCCCTCTTCTTTCCTTACTAATTCCCACTCATTGCCTGAGGGCAGCTCAGGTATCCCTTCTGCCATGCTGATCCCTACAACCTGGGCTGGTAGCCATCCTCTGGTTCCCCACAGCTCCCTATGCACGAGTCTTCATGACACAATATGGTGAATACAGGGATTCTCTATGTATCTCCGCACTGAGTTCCTAGAAGCCAAGACCATGTTTGTTCATTTTCATATCTCTAAGTCCCTGTCTGGGGCTGGGCACACAGATACCTCTCAGTAAAAGTTGGTTGTTTAAAAGAATGAAAGGGCCAGGCATGGTGGCTCACACCTGTAATCCCAGCACTTTGGGAAGCCGAGGTGGGAGGATCTTTTGAGCCCAGGAGTTCCAGACCAGCCTGGGCAACATAAGGAGACCCTGTCTTTACAAATAAAATGTTTTTAAAAAATTAGCGGGGCATGGTGGTATATGCCTGTAGTCCCAGCTACTCAGGAGGGAAGATCACTTGAGCCCAGGAGTTCAAGGCTATCATGAGCTATGATCATGCCACTGCACTACAGCCTGGGCAACATTGTGAGACGCTGTCTCAAAATAAATAAATAGATAAAATTTTAAAATAAAAATAAAAATATGGGAGGCCAAGGCAGGTGGATCACTTGAGCTCAGGAGTTCAAGACTAGCCTGGGCAACACAGCAATACCCCATCTCCAAAAGATAAATAAATAAAAATTTAAAAATAAAATAAAAATAGAAAACAATGCCAACACATTAAAAAGGAATGAATGGATTCATTTTGGCCACCTGAAAGAACTCGTTTCTGAGATTGTCAATTAGATGATCTTTTTTCTCTTTTTTTTTTTTTTTTTTGAGACAGAGTTT